AGAAGAAGCGTAACGCCATACGTAAAAATTGACCCCTATTATTATAGTACTAGTTTTGATTATATACTTGGCTAGATGGAGCAACGATTAATAAACGTAGCGCCTAAACTGTCTCCGATTGCGTGATATGCGCTCGTGTATTTATCATCACAACATAGTAAAAAATAAAGTTATCCCGCTATCTATCTGTCCCTATGTATGCTTAGATCTTTAAAACTACGCAACGGATCTTGATGCGGTTCTTTTATTAGATAGAATGATTCAAGAGGAAGATTTATGTGTATAATTCATTGCATCCATGTGCGGGGCGGGTCGCTAGATCTAAACAAACTGTCAAGGTGTGCGTGTTTAGGGATGCCTACTCCAAATTATTAACTTAAGTTAGCTTTTCCCATTATTTAACAAGGTAAAAGTTAAACAAAATAGGTTAAATAAAGTAATTATTTTGTTGATAAGTAATTTTATTTATTTTACTAACAATAAAAACATACAATGATATAAATACATTAGTTTGTCTATTATATATTAAAATCTCTTTAAATCTCTAAAATCTGCTATATAATCGCTCGAATCGACGTCATGGGTTTCATTTATTTTGTGTAGGTAAATTATTATTTACTGATTAACCCACAACTCGAGGGGGACCTTGGTCCCCCAGCGCTTTCTTTTTTTGCTTACTATATTATTATTATTTTTTTGGGGTATATTTATTTTTTTTTTAATTTTTTTTTCTCGTCTGCTTGGGTTTATAAATAGAATGCACTTTATGGCCAACCGCTCCCCTGGGAGAAAAAGGTCAAATACTTAGGAGTCACTTTCGACTCGCGTATGTCATTTACTACGCACATTAATAACGTTCGTAATAGAGCCGCGTTCGTCTCCGGCCGGCTACACAATTTAACTAATGCTAAAAGTAAAATGCCCTTAAGGCACAAATTATTATTATATAAGACCTACCTGCGTACGACCTATTATGTCCTACGCATGTATGATCTTCGCCCACAAGCACCCTACTCGCTTGTACAAGTTGCAAATAGTACAAAATAAGTTTAGTTGGTAAGCGCAGCAAACTACCAACCGGACACTAACGCGAACGTAAACAAGCGTCGCCCGCGAAACGTCCTCATCGACCCGGTCGACGAAGAGGACTTAGATACGATGGACCCACCGCCGGGGGTCCCGCCGGATAGCACTACACCCACAGTTAGTGTAACAACAATCACACCAGTTCGCCCTCGCCTCCGAGCACGGCGAGACCCACACAACGCGTACACAAGGTACACTCGCGTTCCGGTGCGGTTTTCACCGCTCCCAGCCACCGATTAGCTAAATGCACAGTCGACGGCCGTCGGGGTCTCGGTCCGAACCGCGACCTCGACGGCCCTTAGATGACACACCATAATTAAACGCACGCATGAGCACATGCGCGACCCTACCCATAGCGGAGGGTCCAAACCCGTGGGTTCTGGGTAGCCCACCGGTTCTGCGACCGATGAAGCTTTAATAGTCTCGGGACTGAAAGCAAAAACATCAGTTAATACAAGATACAAGAAATAGAATTAAACATGTATATGCACATTGCATTTAATTATAAAATAAATATTATAAAAAAATAAACATAGAGATATAAATATTGTAAACAATATATAAATAAAAAGGAACCAACTAGATGCCCTCGGTAGTGGAGACCAAACGGCCGAGGGTTAGGGTGAAAGGGAGAGAAACCGGCGGACAATGCGGGTATCGAGGAGCACCGCCTTCTGCATTTGAGCTTGGAGCGATCCATCCCGGAGTCCCAGTCGCCTCAAATGTTTGAAAAGGCTGACTGGGATTAATCCATTGACAGAAACGACTATTGGGATAATTTCAGTCGGCACACCACCCCACATGTCGGTCACCTCGTGAGCCTGGTCCAGATACTTTGTCTTTTTATCTGTTTCGGCTTTCACAAGGTTTTCGTCACGTGGAATGGTAATGTCGACCAAAAATACCGCGACCGTGCCCGGTCCACCCCCACGATGGACACGCGGTTTGTTCGCGATAATCGTCCTGACCGTGATGACGGGCCGGTCCCAAAAGAGCCTGGCGCAGTCATTTTCGAGCACGGCCCTCGGATAATACGGCAGTTTCCGATCCACGAGGCCGTATTTCAGAGCAAGCTCTTTAGTTCACCACTTACTACGGCGCGTGATCCTATACAATTTAGGTACCATTCTACCAGTTAACTAACTTTATTTAATATAACAAAATTAATATATTTAACATATTATTATTTTGTTAGACTCATTCAACAATTAAATGATTTAACTTTCGTAACCTGATTGTTTGTATATATTCACCATTTTCGTAATTTAATGAGTCAGTGGCAGACTAAGGCTTTCAGAGGCCCGAGGCGGTAAAGCTGAATGATGCCCCTAGCTAGTTTAAGCAATTGATCTAATAAACAAGCTTTTTATTCACTTCACTTTGGTATGTATAAGTGTTTATGTTTATTTACTTAAAATCTTGTAAGTATAATTTTGGACTTGAATAAATATACACAGAATACAGAGATGGACGAGGAAAATAAAATACGAATCGATCTAACGAAAAAAAAAACTAAATAGTAATAGGTAGTTTTTACTTCCAGTAAGTTTCTGGAACTAAAACAATATTGATTTGTAGTTTTTTTTAAATTATAGATTAGCAGCAGTGTCGTAGATTGCCTTAGACGGGCCCTCAAATCCAAATATGTCGGCCCAAATGCAGAATTACGATTTTCCACAAAAGAAACAAAAATGTCACTTGGAATGAATATACCCTTTTTCGGAAAATTCATTTATTAAATCATTCATAGCGAAGATGATTTCACTTTGTCTAGATTTTCTGCCGCTATAATAGTGACTTATCTGATATCCGTTTCTGTCCCATAGAAATCTTAATCTGTTGCAGTTGTAACCAGAAGGGCTAAAAATAGAAACATGCTGCTATTATCTCAGGAAAACGATGCAAGGATGGATTCATGAGCTCTATAATGGAATGAATTTACACATTTTCAGGGTTTAAACAGTTTTATAACAAATTGTTCATACACATCAACTGATATGTCGTGACTGTTTTAGCAGACAGTTGCAGTAAACGTAGTGGTTACATTCTCTTTGGACAGTTGTGTTTTTCTACAATTTTTTTTTATTTCGTGAAAAGAATGCTTAGTAAAAGATCAACTTTCTATAAGTCATCTTCATGCTGTACAGCTCTACAGTATTGATGATTTCTAATATTGAAGAAAAAAAAGACGACAAGCATTATTAATGAATTCTCTGCGTGTTAATTATATTTTTACAATCGTTACGTTCGCCTTTTTTGTGAAAATCAATTTAGTTGATACAAAATGTTCATTATTAATGCATGATTTTTCCTTAAAGCGTCGTTTCTCGAACATCTTCCAGCAGGAGAAACTTTTTTAAGATTACCTAATTTTATATTTTTCAGATGAATCGTTACTCAATATTGACCAGGGTTTTAATGTTATTACTAAACAAGTCTATTTTTACTAGCGAAAACACAAAACCGACGGCAAATATCTCGCTCAGTATTCATTTTATAATTGACTTTTAGAAGTCCCCTAAGTATCTCCGGAGCCCAAGATCCAATAACAATGAAATCAATATGGGACCACATGGGAAGCACCGGCTTCCAAATCGGCACCATCATCAAAATCGATTCACTTAGTCCAAAGTTCGGAGGTAACAAACATAAAAAAAACAGTCGACTTGAGAACCTTCCCTTTTTGAAGTCGGTTAGAAAGTATACATTATTCCAAATTATCAAATATAAAAAATAAATACCATAATGGTATTTCTAATATGAAAAACTTTCGACATGTCTCTACTGTATCCAATGTAACAATATTTTTCTCTAACTGCGCTAATCGACCAAAGCAAATTAACAATTTCATTATGAATCTTTCTGATACAGAAAAATGATCTGTTAAAGGTAGATTACATTATGAGATGATGCTGAAGTAATTTTAACATTACATCTGGCCATTACTGGGCAAACATGGTCAAAACTCATGTATGACTTTATTGTTCATATAATAGAATGAGTCCATGGATGATATTGTGTGAGTTATTATTGTTTTTCCCGGGACGTACCTACGACTTAAGAATTTAAGTTATTGTGGAACTTTTGCTTTCATCCGTTCGAGGCCTACGTATCATTGATACAACTGACACAGCGTTAGCTATGCCCCGATTATATGATTTTATTTACACGTTTTTAATCTGAAAGAATTAATATTTTTGGGACCTCGAAACTCCAACTTCTTAGATAGGTACTATGCATATATTTATATGATTTTTTCTAGGAAATATGAAGGCGTTGCGGGGCCCTCCAGGACCTGAGGCCCGGGGTGGACCGCTCCTTCCGCCCCCTGGTTAGTCCGCCACTGTTTATAGTATCAATAATTAAAATCACAAAATACTGATTAAAAATACAAAAGTTCTATTTTATTGCAGATAATTGAAATGTATAGATAAATAAAGCATTATTTTATGTTATAATTCTTTTATAAAATTTTAGAATTCTAATTTTCAATTATGTAAGTTGTATTATTTAGTATGTTTTTTGTTATAATAATACTGTTGTTCATTTGTTTTATATTTTTATTCGTCTAATTGTCATTGTCATTGCTGTCAAGTCAAACGCTACTGTCAATTGTCAGGTCTATCAGCTACCTAGACTAAACAAATGTGTAATTAGAAGATCGCTGGCAAGTTATGTATGATAATATAATAATTATGTTTTCACTACAAGTTAACAAGGTGTATTTAAAACAAGAACTTTAATAGTTACGTTAATTTTCTGTTCATTATCCCCGTATAAAAAGGCTTTTTATGATGGCTGAAGAGATGGGCTGCAAAAATCTTGCAAATTGTTGTAGGACTTGTCTGAATAGTGCTTCATCGAAAGTAATTCATATTTTTGAAGATAAATTACATTCTAAAAATGTTGCTGAAATGTTGTTCACTTGTACTGGTTTGGCGGTAAGTTTCGAATTTACAATATTACGCATTGTTGAAAAACTGTGACTCGATGGCGCAGTTGTTAAGCTATTGGTTTCGGTGCCTGGGAGTCGGGGGTTTGATTCCTACACGGGACAAGTATTTACCATTAAAATTGTAAAAATGTTTCTTTACGTTCTAAGTTGTTAGTTTGGTAAATATTCACGACATTGATGGCCGCATATTACAATTAACATATATGCTGATGAGTTAACCAAGTAGAAGTCTCCGGTCGTGTATATCTTTCGAAAAAAAAAAAAGGAAATAATGTAATTTTCAGTATAAAAATCTGCCATTTTGTTATTATGTTTTTGTCAATATGTTAATTCTGCTTCTGGGTGTTCATAAAAAAATTACCATGAAAAATAATATTGTTGATGTACTTATTTGCTAACATCAATAACTTAATTAAATTACAATTTTTTATTTACAGGCTACAGTTGATGATAATCTCCCAAAAATGGTTTGTGCTGATTGTTATCAAAATCTTATTGGTTTCTATAATTTTTGTTTGCTTGCAAGAAAAATAGACACTCATTTTCGACAAAAAATTAATTGTAATAATAATGATGATATACCACAAAAAGATTTATATTCCAATATAAAAATTGAATCAGATGACCATGACAATCATTTTGACAGTGTAAATGAGCAGTTATTAGAAATAAAGATAGAAAGTGAAGGACATGATTTTGATGAAAACAAAATTGAAAAAATAAACATTGATATACCACAATTAAAAAAAGAAGATGCCTTAGGTTCTAAGTTGAAGATACTACTCAAATGTGAGGTTTGTCACAAACAATTCAAAAACCTCTCTAAACTTAATCAGCACCAGGAAAAACATAACATGAAACAAAGTTTGTATGTCTGCAATTTATGTTCAAAGACATTTAATCAGAGAAGTAAACTTGTGAAGCATTTAGTGGCTCATAGCCGAGATAGTAAAGGTGACGATGATATGCCAAATAAAAACCAAAGTGATACCAATGAAAATTTTACATGTGGAGCTTGTTCTTCTAGTTTTAGGTCTATGCATTCTCTTTCTGCACACATGCGTAAACACGTAAAGAAGGGCAGAGTGCTGTCATGCAATTTATGTGACAAAATATTTACAAAAGTAAGTCATTTAAAAAGACATGAACTATGTCATAATGATAACCGTCCATTTAAATGCAATCTTTGCCCGAAAACATTTATTAGTGAAGATTATTTAACTGAACATCTAAACAAACATAATGGAATCAAACCACATGTGTGCCCTCTCTGCTCAAAAACTTTTTCGCACCTGTCAACTTTGACAAATCATATAAAAGTGCACAGTAAGGAAAAGACCTATCTATGTCCAACTTGTGGCAAAAGATTTAATTCAAGCACAAATCTCAATCAGCATTTGAAGAGACACATTGGGCACAAATCATTTGCTTGTAACTTGTGTCCAAAACAGTTTATTAGTAAAGGTAAATATTTTTTTAATTAGGTTACAATTATTAGTGTAATAATATGAACATTTATTTTTGTTTCAATCAAACAAACAATGGAAAGATTTTTATTTCAGTTGTAGTGAGCCATTTTAGAAAGTTATGTATTATCTACTTTATTTCTTAGTTGATTTAATCACATATAGAGTCTATGAACAATAACTTGTATAAAACATGAAGGATCATGGATACCAAGTGCTTGTCAAGAACCTGGTATCATCTAGTGATGTGAGAGTCCATCATGGTGACTTTACTCAATATCAGTAGAACTGCTTGTTCAGTTGCCATCCTTTGAAAATAAATTGGTTCATGTTTTATTAAATTTCAGGCGAGTTGAAATCTCATGCAAAAACCCACACAGGCGAAAGATCATACATGTGTGATCAGTGCAACGGAAAGTTCACAAAACGCAGCTCCCTTGTTAAGCATAAATTGCGTCATTTAGGCGTGAAGCCTTATAAATGTGATGTTTGTCCAATGAAGTAAGTAAACAAGATGTCATGTTTTAAAGTTTAAATTTCTGTAGTAACCAGAGTCGAATACAGTTATTTTCTTTACAAAGTGCTACCATTTGGACTTTTGGTCACATTTAGGTGAGCATAATTGTTTACAAAAAATAGAGACAATTCTCAATAATTTGAGGAAACAAAACCATTAGAAGTTACCTCTTCATATCTATGATTTCCTGTATTAATGCAAATATTTAATTGAAACCAATAGTTGGCAAACAAACAGGTAACCTCTTGATAAGTAATTACCGCTGCCCATGGACATCCACAACACCTGTGAAGTTGAAGATGTCTGCGATAGTTGAAGTAGAATTACTACTTCATGCTGGTTTTGTGAGGCCTTGATACTTCCCCGAATGAGAGTGTTAATGCGCCATGTTAGCATTACCTGGTAACACCTGTGTGACGTCAGTACAGTAGTTAACTGTGACGATACCAAATAATTTTTAATCGTCGCCCATCCTCGCTTTCAGGTTTTCCAGCAAAGATCATTTGAAGCGTCACTACCGCATTCATACAGGCGAGAAACCCTATCGATGTGAAATATGCGACAGGGCATTCACGCAAAGCAACGACTTGGTGAAACACCGACGCGCGCACTTGGGCGACAAGTTGTATAAGTAAGTAGTTCACCTTGTATTTTAATTTTTATAGGCAATAAAAAGGGTTAAATGCTTTGAAAGGCATTGCCTTGTATAGGCGATACAGATGCAAGAATTTTTTTTTATGTGATGAGTTGGCAAGTGAGCTGGCGGTTCACTTGATGTTAAGTGACAACCACCGCCAATGGAAATCTGCTCTGCAATACCCGTTGACTGCAGATGGTTGCCACAGTGAGCCCCCGCTACCTCACCCACTAGACGAAACGAAATAAAAAAAATTATGTCAACATTTCAGGTGCTCCCAATGTGAAGAGGGTTTCCGCTTACAAACTGAGCTACGTCAGCACATATCGCAACATTATATATCACAATATCAAAAAACAATTCAGTCGGACACCGAGGGCTGTAACATTGAAGAGCACCAGGGAATTTCTGTTGAAAAACAGCCCCAATTAAATGACTCTATTAGTATAGGCCAAATTGAAACCATGATTACATCATGATAAATGCTGATAGTACCGTGTGAGTGAATGCCTCAAAGTAGTTTAATGCTTGGTGAAAGTGCCTATAGAAAAGTTACCCATTGCGGTGATTCAAACTATGCATACCCGTTGAGTTTAATAGCAAATTGGATCTATACCTAATGGTATTATTTATCACTGGAAATACTTAAATTGCACGTTTGTTGCATGACCCTGGTGAATAATACATTATTGAATGAATATTTTGTGCGGAAGGGGTTGGGTAGTAAGTCCCAATGACCACTGCAACCTAAAAGCCTTTCTGTCGAAAACATAGCCTCTTACTGTAGGATAACATTATCATGTATTGTAAGGACACATAAATTTCACGTGGACAAAGACAGACAGGGATAAACACAGGGTCACAAAAATAGTTAAATAGCCTCATGTGGGAACTAAACTCACATCCCCTTGAGCCGAAGCCTGCCCCACGGAGTGACCATATGGCTGATGGCGCCTGCCAGAAATTTAACACGTTATTATATGATTTGTTGCGGAAATGGAGCATATTTTATTCACTGCAATGTAAAAGTGAAATTGTGTGTATTTATTTCGCAGTGTATGAATAAGTGGCAATGTGAAGTAAACAATTCTTGTCAAATATTTCATGGCAGTGGGCACCAAACCGGAAACTCATGAATAACTCTTGACATTGTTAAAAAATGGTGCAATAATGTAAAGGATTGTTTGTTAAAGAAAGTATTTTATGATTTTAAATAGTTTTATAAATAAGCTGAGCTTTTGCAATGAGACTGTTCCTTGTCACTTCTGACGGTGAATTTATAAAACTACATTGGTATGTAAGGTTTCTATCGCTTTGTTGCGACATAACTTCGTTGCAGGATAGTTTTTATTAAAGAAATATGAAATTAATGTTTTTCTAATAGTTTAAAACATTTTTTTCTTTGTTAAAAACTGATTTAAAATAAATTATTCTCGTATCAGAAATATTAAAAAAAAACCAATGGAACGAATTTCTTCTAACAATTAACTAAAGTGAATAAGGCGCCTTGAACATGTTTTAAACTCCAGGAAAGGTTTTACTACCAATTGAATTGCTAACAATTCTGTAATATAGGTATACATTTTTATTACTCATGATGCTAAAGCATTATACAATGTTAACACTATACCCCATACTTGGCTTAAATAGCCTATTTAAAACATGAACTTTATCTTTTTCAGTGCATAAGTCTAGACTTCGCAAATTTTTACTAATCATTATGGATACTCAATAGTTAGGCGTACATACAATATTCTAATAGAACGAATATAATTCGAGAAATATCCTACGCTATGATTAAAAATTCTTAAGACGTTCATATCCGTTTAATCATTTAATAGTATTAACTTGTATCTTGTATTAATCAAAAAAGTTGATCGTAAAAAATAAACTTGGTGCTATTTAATGTTTTTATTATTGGAAACGTGAGCAAATATTTGCTATTGTCTCTATAAAAATAAATGAAATACGAATAGCTATCATTCCTAAAAAATCCATTACGGTATATAAATTGGTGATCGATTGGCTAGCACTTTTGTACGAGTACAAGATATAAATCTCAGCATATGAAAAAAAAATTAAATAAAAGAGTTGCGCACGTTTCGTGCAGTTGCTGAGCATATTGCCTGCTGCGCAACTAGTCGCGGATTCTAAATACGTAACAAATATTTGTATATTGTATATAATATATAGATATCTAATATATTGTATTTGTGGTGCCCAAATGTATGTATCTTAAATAATTTAGAAATACATGAAAATGTGTTTAAGTTTTTATTAAGTATAGCCAGATGAGAAAATAAATTCGGTTCGGTTCTTAAGAGGGAGAAAGATTTTGTCATGTAATTTAGAAATTGTCTATGTTAAAATATTTTTTTTGTAATTATAAACCGTATGTGATGTATGCTAATGTTAAATTTTAATGTTCGATATTTTAGTACATTTTTATTGTTAATTCATTTATATGTGAAATAATTTTACTTAATCTAGTACTTTTCCAGTTATAAAAATACGTATTTAAATTATCGTTTTTTATTTCATTACAATCAAATATTCGATTAAGAACTCGATTAAGCCTCAGTTTTAAGCTAGATCAGGGAAAAGTTCTGCTTACATACAATGACAGAATTGCAATTTTTAACCTGGATTCCCTTCTTATGTGACGACCACTTGGTGATCTTTTTACATTACGACTCTGACGGCAGGGTCATGTTTCATTGTGATGCTCACCTAAATCTAACATGTTGATATGATGAATATGAATATGACAAAAAATGGAAAAAGAAGTAAGTATGTATATGTATATTTTTATACAGCGTGTCGTTACCATCGCGACAATAAATGAACACACGTCTAACGCAACTTGCCAATAATCATAAAAAAAAAATTAACGTTAAAAAAACCACATAAAAAATATATTTTTCAAACAAACTAATTAAGTAAAAAAAAAAAAAAACAAAATTTGTAACATCCTATACAACTACAACAGACTGATTCATACATTCAGAGACTTTTTCATTCGTTGACACAGCGTCGCATTACAAGCCTCTCCTTTTAACAGCATGTTTTGTCTCTTAAATTCATACAACCGATTCATATGCTTTGCAACCTTTACGAATGAACTTTACGTTACAGTTTTATACGTATGGGTGTTCTAAAATTATTTGTTTTAGAAAATTTAATAACTTGGTAAATATTGATGTTTAAAGATTGTAAACGTTTAATACAATTTTAAAAAGTTATCCTCTATATGTGTATTCATTTATTGTCGCGGTGATAACTATATATATATATATATATATATATATATATAGTTATAACTATAGTGATAACTATATATATATATATATATATATATATATATAGTTATCCGTTCTAGGAGTTGTTTGATCCAGAGTTACGTATGATCAGTTTTTTGTTGATCCGCTTAAATTTGTTGATCCATACCCGATTTGTTGATCCAATACCACGTGTATGTGATTTAGTGGCTCCATTCGGATCAACAACTGCTCGTCAATATCTTTTTGAAATTAGCTACAATTTATACAAATCCACTCCGTACTTATTTGATCCAATTCAAACGGACGAATCACAGATCACAGCAGCATTCATTGGTTGAAATCATCACTTTACGTCAGTACCTACTTATTAAGAAGAATTACTGTATCTCTTGAATGTGATATTTGTTGAAATACATGCTTTAAAGGGCCAGCAATATCTAGCGCTCGCGCGCTTTTCAGATTCACGTGCAACACAACCATTATATTTTAATGTAAATTAGTTGCGCGCGTGATAGATTATTTAAGAATTTACATATAATAATTAATAAAAAAAATATTGGTATCAATACTCAACAGTTAATTATTTAATTCACGTATAAAATGAATGTACTTCTACTTCAATATTTAAAAAATAATGTTGAAGAATAAATAAGACTTGGAGTGTTCTAGTCGTATCTTCAATAGTTTATAAGTAATTTTAATAGCAATGGAGAATACCTGATAGGTAACAACAAGTCCAAGTGTATAATAATTTTAAAAATTATATAAAAAACAGAAAAATAATAAACAAAATTTTTCGTAATTCGTTTGTTTATAAACAAGCGTCTTCACAAAACCAAATAAAAAATGAATTAAATTACAATTTTTTTATGATGTAACAACGTGATGAATTATGATTTTAATAAAATGGTTCCATAATGTTAACACTAAGCAACAAAAAATTGTAATTTAGAAAAAGCGTTTTTAGCAGAGAAAAATTTTTTTCTTAAATGTCATATTTTCATTAAGCATCATATTCCTAAAAGAAAAAAATTTAAAATCTTATAAACAATGTATTTATTTATAATAATTACAATTCAAGTAATTTTTTTTACAGGAACAGAATAATCAAAAAATAAAAAAAAAATCTTGATTGATTTATTAAAGTTTTTCATATTTCAATGCCTTAGATTGGTAATAAAACAATGAAAAATTAGAAATTTAGAATCTTTTCTAAACTCTTTCAAGAAGTGACAAAAATATTCTTGGTTAGACTACATAGAAATAATCGTATTTTTTTTCGTCCTATTATTATTTATTCATGTATCTAGAAAGAACTTTATTTTTTATTCCTTAATATTCTATTTTATTTGGTTAAAATAATCTTTTAGAGTTCCGTACCCAAAGGGTAAAACGGAACCCTTATTACTAAGACTCCGCTGTCTGTCTGTCAGCAATATATTGTACAACTAGCTTGCGCCCGCGGCTTCGCCCGCACATTATATCGTGCTTAAAAATACCTACGGAACCCTTCGTGCGCAACTCCAACTCGCACTTGGGCGATTTTTTTTAACTTTATATAAGCCATAATTTTACAGACCATAGTTAACTATAGTTTCGTCGCACAAATCTACAATGTGGTTGTTTAAGTTGATATAACTATTTTATTTATCATTCGACTTAAATAAAACTAACAATAAATGTTAAGAGAAGCTTACTACAATGCATTCGTAAAAGTTGCACTGAAATCGGAAAGGCCGTTGTAGCCAAGTTAGCGCACACAGACAAACAGATAAACAGACAATAATTTTAACTATCATTGTTTTGGGTTCTACTGCGTTGATAAAGGCCCCTAATAATAGTTTTTCTCAAATATCTTCCATGTACAAACAACAATCAATTAAATTTTTAGTATATGTATGATATTCTTTGAGTTCATAGTTCGCCGCCGCGCCTGTTGCTTAAATCAACTCGGGATAATATTTGGATGCATACTTAGGAGTACAGCATTTTGGGCTTCACCTCAATCGAATTAATACAGGCTGCATGTGCTAACAAGCATAACAACAAAACTATACACTTTATAGTAAGTAGGTATTTTGATAATGTCCCAAGGATTCATTAATATCAAGCGATAATATCTACAATATTAAAATATTTATTCACTAGCATCCTATGGTAAACTAATTAATAAGAAATAGAAACTAATTAATAAG